TTACTTTGTTTGAACATAGGAACTAATTCATCCATGAAACCCCAACACTACATATATTGTGTAATTAAATGCACATTTACTATATAAATAATTATAATATAAAGTGTCTGATGAAATAGTAATAATAATAATAATAAAATATCTATACTATATTATATAATATATATTATTATATCTCAATCCATTGATGACCTGCACTACCTTCGTGTGACCCCAGGGGGCCGAAATGTAAAACAGTGAATATAACAGTAGACAGAAACATGTACATCCACACAATTTCCTGAAGTTTTTGACAAGGTTTTCATGAACAAGATAAATCAGCAAAATGTCTAAAATCTCAAAAATATCTTGTCTTAAAATGTCAAGCAATCTCATTATGCGCTTGTATATATAGGCTACATTTAGACTTAATGTGGAGATGCATTATGCCCTTATTTAACTTTAATCACATACAAATGAAATTACGGTAAATGTTATTCATGAATGAACTTTGTGATGTGTTTGTCTTACCTGAGGCTACCAGTAAATGCTTTGGACACACACATGGCTTCGGTTGTCCACGGCCTTGGTCAAGGAATTATGCGTCCAGTATCCAGATGGGATTGCGTGGAGTGTGAATGCAGGATAAATCAGAGGTTTGTAAATGTGGCTACTTGCACATCAGCCTTATCTTATGTAACATGTCTCTGGACAGATTTTGCAGTTGCACAATCAAACATGCCTTGGCTTTTGCCATCTGTTTGAGACTGATCATTGCAGTTTAGAGCCTGGTTACAGACAGTATGGATAAAATGGTGTCTCTGTTATTTCTGTTTTTGAATTCCTTTGGTTGAATTCAGTTTCAGCCAGGATCTTCCTCTATGATCTGTTTTGATGTTCTAATGAAATGCTCAAATTTATGATATTAGGGGGGCAGCCGCAGGCAATTTGTGCATTTTTAACCAAAGATAATGAATGAGGATGTGGGCAGTCTGAGGGCATTAAAGGAACACTGTGACTTTTTTGGACTTTAGCTTATTCACTGTATCCCCCAGAGTTAGATAAGTCCATACATACCTTTTTCCATCTCCATGCGTGCTGTAACTCTATTTGACGCACCCACCGCTAGCCTAGCTTAGCATAAAGACTGTATCTAAATGGCTACAGCTAGCATAATCCCAATAGGAGACAAAATAACACCACATTTTTCCTATTTATTTCCAATTTGTATAGTCACAGAGTGTACAGATAACAAGGTAATATGAGACACAGATATCTTTTAACCATATAAATATTGGGAACTATATGCTGCGTTGGGTCACTCTCAGGTGCTGCGGTTATCACTCCGCCCAAGTAGCAATGCTGCCTTCTGAGAATATAGTTCCTAATATTTATATGGTTAAAAGATGGCTGTGTCTCATATGAGCTTGTGATTTGTAAACTTTGTGACTATGCAACTTTGTGACAACATGTAAATAGGGAAACGTTTGCGTTATTTTGTCACTTATTAGGATTAGTATGCTAGCTGTAGCCATTTACATCCAGTCTTTGTGCTAAGCTAGGCTAGTGGTGGGCGCTTCAAACAAAGTTACAGCATGCAAGGAGATGAAAAAGGTATTTAGGGACTTATCTAACTCTGGGGGATATAGTGAATAAGCTAAAGACCAAAAAGTTCCTTTAACTACAAACCACTAATAAGATTATAAGATAAAAAATTTTCCCAACATGAAAATTATGTATTTTATTTGTATTTATCAAAATAAAATAATAAAATAAAATAGAAATATAAAAAACAACTTAAATCAGAATAAAATAAAAGAGTAGGGAAAAAAATAATAAAATAAAGTAAAATAAATAAATAAATAAAGTTAATTTAAAAAAGTGAGAATGTCTATAAATGCATGTAAATGAGCACATAAATAGAAATACAAAAAAAAAAAACCTAAAATAAATAAATTGTATGCATAAAACCCATATCTGCAAAATGCAATTGCTATTTACATTTTAACTGGTTTCCCAAAAAGTTTGTCTGCATTTTACTTCAAAAAAAAAAAAAAAAAAAAAACTGTGATAACTTACTGAAATAAACTCTGTAACCACTATATTACAACAAAATATATTATTAATAAGAATACTAATATGCATCAATTTGTAACATTTGGGCAATGTTTTTACTCAAACTTGTGGAGGAGTCCATTCTGTCATTAAAGCAAAAGTTGGCCATCCCAAATACTAACATAGCCTACATTTTCCAATTCAATTTCAATGTACACTCAAATAGCTTATTATATAAATATAATAAAAACAATGCATTACATTAGAAAACAATACAAAACAGCATTTTGGACACCTAACACGAGTATACATTAGTACCAGACATGGAGCAGTTATTTTCCGAAATGATCCTTCTTCCTAAAGCTATAAACCCAGACATCTAACTGTGCCACTGGCTAAAGGCTGATTAGCACACTCACCTGCCAAGTCTCTGCACATCAATGGCTTTAGTAGATTACAAGGATTCCCACATCACTAGTCTTGGTATTCTTGATTAACCACAGGATCAGGATATGGAAAAAGGCCTCACTTTATCACGTAGCAAATCCAAATATAAAATAAATTTTTGGCCTATGAAGCACAAAATATATTTTGGTATTTGCAATCATAATGAGACGGCGGATGAATTATTGAGGAAATTCACGGTGCTCAATTTGTGATGTTTCATTGGTTATGGAATGGAAATAATGTTTTCTTTTTTTGTGCACGTCAACAAACTGTGTTCACCGATGCTCATTAGTTAGATGCACAAAATGTCAAATGAGTCTGACAACTGGGTCATAGAAGGTATTATTTATATGTGAATTATTTGAATTAATTTGAAGGATTACATATTAAACACTGGAATTTTTTACTTCTATGTTATGCACCACATGATATCACCTACTTGACAAAGCAGGCTGCCTAAGACATCCCAATACTGAAGCTGAATAATCCTGTTTACAGGATGTGTCCCACTCAACTTTGCCTTCATTCAGTTACTGCCTCCAGTAAACCAAGGGATCAGGATCCAAGCAGTTATAAATAAATCTACCTCACACACTTCATGCATGATTCAAAAACATCCTCTGGGCTTATAGTTATGAGACAGGCCCCGCAGTATCTCTTGATGTGGGTCTGGCTCCGCCGCCCTGGTTTCATTCATAATTTGAGTTGTGTTTCTCCGAGCAAGTTAAAAAACAGAGGGAATAGCTAGAATTAGGGCGGTCTGTTCTTTTACTAGATTCACAGGTCCATTTTGACGTTACACTGGATATATGGTGTTATGAAACTGAAATCATAGAAATATTTTATGTAATAGGTATTTTCAACATTAAATGTACAGAGAAACGCAGACTATACTCTCACGAAAAAAGGTCCAAAAGCTGTCACTGGGGCTGTACCTTTTCAAAAGGTACGCTTTTGTATCGAAAGGGTGCATATTGGTACCTTAATAGTACTTATTAGCACCTAAATGTCCTTAGCACCTAAAATGTCCATATTAGCAAATAAATGTCCATATTAGCACCTAAATGTACATGTTGACACGTAAATTGTACATATTAAAATGTACATATTAGAACCTAAATGTACATAATAGCACCTAAAATGTACATATTAGCAAATAAATGTCCATATTAGCACATACAATGTACATATTAGCACATAAAATGTACATATTAGCAAATAAATGTACATATTGGCACCTAAAATGTACATATTGGCACCTAAAATGTACATATTAGCAAATAAATGTCCATAGCACCTAAAATGTACATGTTAGCAAATAAATGTCCATATTAGCACCTAAATGTACATATTGGCAACTAAATGTACATATTAGCACCTAAAATGTACATATTAGAACCTAAATTTACATATTATCACCTGTCCTAAAATGTACATAGGCCTATTAGCACCTAAAATGGACAAAAGTTTACCTTTTGAAAAGGTACAGCCCCAGTGACAGATTTTGTACCTTTTTTTTCTGAGAGTGCTCAAGTCAAAGACCATATAGGCCTACTTACACAAAAAGTGCTTAACACAGTTAAGCTTAGCTTATCATTACAAACCAATCACCAGAACAAATCACAGTGAAGCAGACTTGAGTGACATTGATTTTTACTCAGTTGAATGATTTAAATGTACATGTATCTTTCTATTCAGGAAACTCAGTTGGTTGTTGTGGCCAGTGATCTCCCGGCCTTGGCCCGTGAATAAACATTCATTTCTGCAAAGGGCAACTGGGAGTCGTGTCAGGTAGGCTACATGCTGCAGATGAGACAGACAACAACAGAACATCTATGTGTGATTAAGGTATAAAAGTCCTAAAGATTATACGCTTAAAAGACAACAAAAGAAACAGCTCAAGTGTGAGTGAGGCAGTGACAATAAGCTTCTTCACGGGACGCCGTCTCCATAGCCTACTTCAGGGAAGTATTGTATTATGAGGGAATTGCTTCGAGAAACTATTATCTTTAACAACTGGAGGTTTTAAATTGTCTGTGGGGAAGAAGTCAGATTAAGTAGTTTGTATTCGAATTTCCACTACCCTATTTGGATTCAAATGATAGACGACAAACCCTTCTGTCATTTATCATCTAATCAGAGTGTAAAAAAGAGAGTGTGTGTGTGTGTGTCTCTTGACTGCTTGTAAAATAAATTCAGAATAAATGTTAAATCCAGTGGAGATTTACAGCATGCCTTGTTATAGAGAGTTAGACTTAATGACTACCAGCCTTGACAGTGACTGGCACTTATCCAGTCATATGTCAAGTCTAAGTAGCAATAAGCAATTCCATTTGAACACCTTTAAGATGATTTTTATATTAAATGAACACGTTTTGCTTTGTGTTTCAGTGAAAAATTAGCTTCCGAGACGCTGGCTGATGCTCTTGTTGGCTCACAGGAGCACATATGAGGCGTCTTGTTTTCCTGAATGAAATCGTACGCGCGCGCTATTAATAGCACCGGCTGTCTGACGTCACAATGGAAGCCGCATCTGACTCGCGACAGATGATGATTCTCTCAAAGAGCCTCGCGACCGGGAAGGACACAATATCCCCGCGTATTTACCAGTCTATGCGCTTGCAAGTATATAGGAATTAACTTTTTTTTTGCGCACAGACGGGGACGTAGTGGCAGTTTGGAGATGGTTTTGCAGCATTTCCCCAGCTAGCGACGAGCGATTGTTCTTTCATAACATCAGCAAGCTGCAGTCACTGTTTTCAGAATTCTTGACTTCACAAAACACTCGCATCACAGACACGGTACGTATGCTTGTGTCCACCGCGTGATGGCTTTTGTTTGCAGGGTGGTGTCCTCGTGTAATTCATCATGACATGCACCTTGTAGGACAGTTGACCAACTTCTTAAATTGATACAATGTAATGGTTTTTATGCTAGGCTGTAAGTAGATTATAATAGCCTAGAATTACATTTTGTGGACAACGTGGAGTAATATCAGTATTCTCTATAATGCTGTGGTAAAAATGCAAGTTCATACATTGTAATGTAAACTGTTTGCATTTTCAGCAGGGAAAATGTTTAATCTAGGGCTAGGCTATAAACGAAAAATAAATAAATTGCCTAAATGTAAAAATGTGGTAGCATCTAAATTATTTACTTATTTTATTCACATTGATGATAATACAATGTCATCTTGGGGTAATCATTTTAAGGGTCATATGAAATATGAATAACACCTTATTTGGGCACCTACATGCTTCCACGTTTCACGGGGCGCTAATGTTGTGTGTTTACATTCGGTTACACTTTATTTTAAGGTGATGTAGTTACATTGTACTTACTAAAATAGGTACTGAGTACTTACTATAGAGTTAGGGTTAGGGTTTAGTTTAGGGTTGTCACTACTTGTAATTATGCATAATTGTCAATATGTCACCTTAGTGTTGTTAATATGTCACCTTAAATAAAGTGTTAACTTATTTTTTATTTATATGACATACACACTGCACTATCTGTTGATTCTGCAGTTAGGGTTAGTATGTTTTTGTACTGTTCTGCAAGTTCAAACTTAAGATTTATGTGCTTTAAATAAAAATCATGGCTTTGTTTCTTATTCTTACTATCCATTCCTACTCGATTCAACTTGGCTTCTTCATCTGTAATTGTAAGTGGTTGGGTAAATGCAGAATTTTTTTTTTTTTTTTTTTTTTTTTTTTTGCTCAGGACTGATTCTACCTAAAACCTCAGTATTTGTTCAAAGTTAAATTGCAACAGCTCCTGAATAAAATGCCAAAGACATGTATAAAGAGATTTCACTATAAAAGATGAGTGGATAAGACTGTGGTAGTTAGAGAGAGCACAGAGGTGCAAGCATTGGAGTTTTGTCATCATGCTGAACGGATACACATGCCTTAATCCAATTTTTAATGCACAAGTTTACAAGATAGCTGATCTATGCTGATTAACATCATTGTTGAGACATTTTTGAGCTATAGGAATTAAAGTCTCAGTTAGGATTTTTTTTATAGAATGCACTTTATTTTTACACTTCACCTTTAACAAAAGATCCAGTGGAAGATGCATTGAAGGTGTGAAGGTGAAAAATACAGGTGATGCACATCATGTATCAGCACTAATTGGTGTGATTAAAGGCCACATCAGTAATTTAATACTGTATTACCGGTATGTAATCAGACGTGTTTTTTCCCCTTGAGTTAAGACATGGGAAATAATTGAATGCTTTCAATATTTCATAATAACAAGACCACATGGATTATCTTTACTGTTAAGGCCCTTGCACACTGAGTCAGAATTTCTCGTCCGAAATTTTTGCACAATCACGCTTGCACATTGCCTCCGAATCGATTTTCCGGTTCCATTTTCTGTGTTTTTCGCATCCGTAGCAAGCAGTTTGAATGGTGTTTGAATGGAGTTTTGACAATTCAGAGCAACCGAATCACGAATACGACAAAAACGCATAAGACATTTTCGGACTCGGAGTGTGCAAGGAACTTTAATGTTATTATTTAATGATTATATTACATGCAGCTGCCAAAGAGTTAATAATTACCAGAGCTATCATTCAACACACTCTTATATTGTTAGCAAATATTTCTTTTTTATTTTATTTTATTTCTTTTTTTTTTAATTAAAATTATCTTTATATTTCCACTGATGCACACTGCATCTGTCAAGAAAGTCATATGGGTTGTGTTTTGTCCCAGTAATGTAGGGCAACTATTTTAGGAATACAAAAACAAGAAGTCCTGTATTATATTGAGGTTTCATTGACCCACAGCAAGGTCAACGCTCTCTGCGGCTTCTGCTTTCTGAAATGAAATACCAGTATGAATGTGCGTCGTTATGAATTGTTGTACAATAATTCCTCTTGTCATAGGGTGCTAAAGTTAAGTATGGACTACGAAAGACCCAACGTAGAGACCATCAAGTGTGTTGTTGTAGGAGACAATGCCGTGGGGAAGACACGCCTTATATGTGCCCGGGCCTGCAACACTACCCTGACCCAATACCAGCTGCTGGCCACCCATGTACCCACCGTCTGGGCTATCGACCAGTACAGAGTCTGTCAAGAGGTAAATCTTGACTCAATTAAATTTACCTTGCCATTCATCATTGCATTATGTCAGGCCCATGGCTGGAGATAATGAGCGCATGATCCCCAGATTTGCTTCTGTCAGGATTCATTTAAATTTCAACTGGCAGAAGGGAAACAGATTACAGAAAAAGATCAAATACGCCTGTGGTCTTCTTTGCTCCGGGGCAAGGTGTGCTACTTTAAAAGCCGAATTAACGCTATGACTCTTTGTAGGTCTTAGAGCGTTCCAGAGATGTTGTGGATGACGTAAGTGTGTCCCTCCGGCTATGGGATACCTTTGGAGACCATCACAAAGACCGACGCTTCGCCTACGGGAGGTACAAATACATTCTGTTTGATTTGCACTTCTTGTGTAATAGTGGGGCTAGCTTACAAGAATTGTTCACCCAAAAATGAAAAGCTAAGCTAAGCTAAAATGAATGCACCATGAATTTCTCAAAATAATCAACATTCAAATATTCATAGTATATTCAAAGGTAATGCTTCTTGGTCTGTGTACATACCATAATAACATGTAATAATATTCCTGTGGAATTCCTGTGGAGGTTGCCGAATTTAATAGGTATAGTTCACCCAAAAAAAAATAATTTACTCATGTTGTTCCAAACCCGTAAGACTTTCGTTCATCTTCGATTTTCGTTCAACACAAATTAAGATATTTTTGATTAAATCTGAGATATTTTTGTCCTTCCATTGACAGCTACGCAACTACCATTTTAAAAAGTTCAAGAGTTCGTAAAACTATTGAGCGAATTGAGCGATTTAGTCCATATTTTCTGAAGAGACTTGATCGCTTTATATGATAAACAGATTTAATTTAGTCGTTTAATCACATGTAAACAATGATCAGCGAACATAAACAGAAGCTCAACCGACACATGGAACAACCCTCATTGGTTCTTGTAGAAGCTCAAACGTCCTTCGTAACACAAGAATGAACCAGGGGTGCGTTTCCCGAAAGCATCGTTAGCCAACTATGGTTGCAAGTTCCGTCATTATCTGCATAGTTTAACGAGTCTGTGTTTCCCGAAATCATCGTTCCAACGAACATTTCGCAACAGCATCGCAAAGTTGTGTAGTTTGAACGACAGCTCTCGACCTGTCGTTAGAGGCATCGTTTCTATATTGCATGACATTTGGACGTAATAAATCCTTATCTTGAGCAAAATAAACAAGCTGACATTCAGTACAACCGGTGCCATTTATTTAGAAAACATACAAATGTAATTTACGACGTTTAGTTTGTCAAAAGATTTGAAGTAACGTGTTTGAAGAGTGCGCATGCGCGAACGTGCTCTACTATGTAAGAGCGAGCCAAATATTGAGTCTGGTAATAAAGCAAAACATCCTGTAAATAATTAGAAATGACATGTCTGTAATTTATTTAAAACAAATCTAGCGTTCATTTGATATCAAACAGTTTCATTAAAAGTAGTTATTACTCCACCACACGCGAAACCAACGCGGTTGAACGATACTTTGCGACAGTGGGTTTCGGGAAATAGTCGTGACCAGCTAGTTGATTTTTCCAACGATGCATCGTACTATGGTAGTGAAGCAGCGAACTACGTCGTTGTACGGGAAACGCACCCCTGTTCAATTGATATAGATCAGTTTTAAAATTTCATAAAAAATGTCTTCATTTGTGTTCCGAAATGAACAAAAGTCTTACGGGTTTGGAACGACATGAGTGTGAGTAATTGTTGACAGAATTTAATTTTTTGGGTGAACTAACCCTTTTGAACGTTTGAATATGTGCATTTCCAAATTAGATTTAAGAGCTTGAGATTTGAGTTAAAAGTTTAAATTTCAGTTGTATTACTTCAGAAGACTTACAGCTCACAACTTTTATGGATTTTTGTGATACTTTTGTGTTTTTTTGCTGGTCACCATTCATTTTAATTGTATAGAAAAGAGCAGCGTGAACATAGTTCTGAACATCTTCCTTTGTGTTCCTCGGAAGAAATATAGTCATATAGTGTAGGTGTGAAAGAATATGTGAAATGATGACAAAAGTTTCATTTTTGGGTGAACCATTTTTTTAATTCCTTGTTATTTCATTAGGGTGCATTGCATTTATTTATGTATGTATTTATTCAGTGTTTCTCAGATTAAACTAAATAACGTAAATATGAGGGTATGCATGAGCAAATGTCACAGTGCTCTCTCGAGTTAATATCTCAACAAATTACCGGAGAAAATTTTGAATTGCTTCTTCAGTTCACAAGTGCCACCACTTTACTGAACAGAAAGACAGGAAGCATCTTGCCATCAGATGCTTTCATCATTCGCTCTGACATCAGACACTGAGCTATTTGCAACTGAATGTGTGCCGAACATGACAGCTGAGCACTGTTATGTTAACTCATGGCCATTTTGTGTCAAGCACTTGTTTAATGAAGTGTTTTTTTTGCATTCGTCACATGCTCACTGCTTCTCATGCTTTCTTTTTATGGCATTTTCAGAACTGAATAAACATAGAATGTTCTCATTTTGGTATAGTGGTGGTAACATAATTAGCATCAATTATGTTATGTTCACAGATGTATTTAGCATGCATCATTCATTTTCTTATTATTGCTATTTCATTCAGGGTCATTTTGTTTGTTTAACTGTTAATAAAACACACTTAGGTACCGGTAATATTACTGATATCTGGACAGTTTTTACTGAAAGGTATTATGGTTGGTGTTATATTCATGGTAAATCTCACTTATTTTTCATTTTTCATTAGCTTTATAGAAATTATTTGCTTTTTATTAAGAGATAGCAGAAACATCTCAACTAACAATATTAGACTACGGGGTGTGTGTTAATCCACTGCCTTGTTCAATAAGTGACTGCAGAGGGAATCTAAGTCATTTCCTCTAAAGTTTGGTCCCTATGAAATCCCAGAATGCACCATTAAAAAAGGGCATCATCTGATCACTATATTTACTTTATGTTGCTGGAAAATAATACCATTATACAGCGAAGTTTTTGATAAAAACCATTTACATTTTATTGAGTGGCCTTGTCATGATGTCAAATGTAATTTAGTCATCAGTGTCCCAGTGCTAAGTGGATTGTTAGCACCCAAATTCATGTTCATGATATACTGATTCAAACCAGCTAGAGAGGGGAATGAGACGCCGTCCAATAATCAGTTTCAGAGGAATTATATTCCTGGAGTGTTCAGTTCTTATATCCTTTTGGAGTTGTTAACAGATGGTGTTCAACAGGATGAGTATGACCCGATTCTTCCCTCTGACAGTCTGAAGAGAGACTTTAGAAATCCAAAGAAAGGTTGTCTGTATATTTACCCTGCAAGAGAAAGAGTATGACATGATTTAGTGCTAAACCAACACATTCTCATCCTTTGGCGTCATATAGGTGATGCCATTTGACATTTCGTCGAAATACTAGGCACATCGCACCTTTTAGCATCAATATAAATCGCACTGTTATGGGTTTATTAGGTTTAGGTTTGGGGTAGGGTCTGCGTCTCATATTGACGCTAAAGGATGCCAGTCACCTAAATGACGCCTTGGGTTCTGCGTGTTATATTGACGCTAAAGGGTGCCATGTGCATAGTATTTCGACGAAATGTCATATGGCGTCACCTATATGACACCAAAGGATGAGAACGGGCTCCACTAAACCCATCTCTATCCAGATACACTAGACTACTTCAATCAAACACACCTGACTTGTGGCTGGAGAGCATGCCTTGCTCCCTGACTTGCTCCCAGTCATGTTCATTGGAATTATAGTCTTCCTTGCTTTATTACATCCTAAAATAACACCAAGACACTGAGGTCTGGAGTCATAAAGCTTGGCTCTGACTTAAAGAATGACCTCTAGATGTCCCTATGTCCCTATGTCCTGTCTGGAACTACCAAGTAGAAGTGTGTGTCCTCTCTTATGAGCATAGGATAATAGTGGGGGAAATAGTGTGTGTGTGTGTGTGGGGGGGGGGGGGCATCATGAATAAATGCATAGTATCAATAATATTATGTAATGGAGGAAAAAAACATGAATGCTGCATCATCTCATTTTGGAATTTTATGGACGCAGACCAAAAGATATGATTTATTCATGAAAAAAAAAAAAAGATAATTCTCATATTATGTAACATTTCAAGGGATGGCTCAACCAAAAAATTCTGCCATCATTTACTAAGCCTCATGACATTGCAAATCTGTATGGCTTTCTTTCTTCTGTGGAGCACAAAAGAAGATATTTGAATAATGTTGGCAACCAAACATTGTATAGACAATCAAACTGATGCGTTTCTCAAAATATAATCTTTTACGTTCCTCAGAAGAAAGGTTTGGGACTATATGAGAGTGAGTAAATGAGGAAACTATCATTTTATGCTAAAAACAAAAAGAATTATTGTAGAATGGATAGTTCTGAACTCAAAATCTGACTGAAAGAGGTACATTTTTTCACCCTGCAGTCAAATATTCATATAAATTATGCAACTTGAAGTGGCCTAACAAATGCTTCTGATCAAGTTCTTCCTCATCTTAAAAGAACACAATTGCAACGTATCAATTACTTAAACAGTTTCACTGTCATACAGTACTGTATATACTGGAGCCAGACTGATATATCGGCAGGCCGATTTTATCGGCCGATATTAGGCATTTTCCAAACTATCGGTATCGGCAGTTATAATGGCCGATAAATTAATATTCCAAAAATAAAATAAAAACGGACGAAACACGCTTGAACCATGTCATGAGTGTTGTGTAGTTTGTCCACCAGAGGACACTCTACACCGTTCCTGTTGGCAACACTCGTTGAGTTGGTCACGATACATACATTGCTTGAATAACAATTAAAAGAACATTCATCAGTTCTCTTAACTCAAATAAGCATGACAAAATTTGTGGCCGGCGGAAGTTTCCTTGGCCAGTTTATATTGAAAATGTATGTTTTACAATTTGCAGTATGACGTTATCCATTGCTAAATTATGGTTCATCATAGACTAGCTAACCATAAAGCTAGCTAATGCCACTATCATCAGTCTGTTCTGTTGTGACAATAAAAGAAAGTTTCTTTTTAAAATGCATTATCATATTATTTTGGTTAAAACTCATAAATAACTACAAATAACGAATGTTAGGGAATCTGTTAATGTTTTGTTGCGCCTTTCTGAAATAAAAAATAAAATAAAAATATCGGCCGATATATCGGCATATCGGATTTTAAAACCAAAAAATATTTGTATCGGTATCAGCCTTCAAAATCCTTTTATCGGTCAGGCTCTAGTATATACTTACGTATCTCTTGCTGAGTGACTGGTGTGTTTTGTGATAGACGAGAAGAAACAACTCAGTGAAAGAGAAGTCATAAATCTGGGTGATTAGCTGAAATTGTTGACAGTGGAAAAACACAACCTTTACCACAATCAGTCTACATGAGTTCACCTAAAGGATACAAAGACTCTTTTGCATGGATGTAGCAATTTTGCAAACGACTCCTTCCGTTAGTCTGTTTCGTTTTATTGCTAAGTAATGATATTTTGAGGATTTTACTCCCTGGATTGATGTATGGTTAATAAGGATAATCACTGCTTATAGGCTGATTTACTCTCATTTATTCAGGTTGAGGGAGTTATTGTTGAGTTACTGAAACAGCAAACTGCATCCGTGCTGGCCCTCAAAGTCATTATGAAGTCCAAATAAGTGCTACATGTTTTACCAGAAGTGCATTGATTTTGGCTTAACATCAAAACAGGCTTGTCTCTAGAGCACTAGGGTGATCTGCCAAGAGCCCCATTTCGACCCGAGATGTCAGCAAACAATTACCGAAGGCAGGATAGTCTTTAGCCTAGCAATTATTGGGACCATGCTGTGCCATTTTAAAGTGTTCAGATATCTTCAACCTCACGTCTTAAAAGCTGCTTGATATCAGACTCCGGGTTACTTTATCTTTGGACTTGTCATTAAAGATTGTGGAAGTAATGTTGTTCTCCTTCAGACAGATATCCCTGCACTGTCATTGACTACAAAGGCAAATCATTATGTAGCATTGTTCTGTGCCTCTTTTTGTTTGTAGGGCTCCTATGATCTTTATGCAAGCCTGTGAAACATAAGAGAGACACTGTAAGTCGTCAAGCCTGCTAGCATCTCCATAATTCTCTGCATTGCCAAGTATGTGGTGTGGTAGCTGAGACCTTTGCTTGCCTAGTCAGCAAGAAATGCACGATTCCTTTTGTGGACGATGGCAAACGGGTGATTGTACATTATTCACCTACTTGTGTGGTGACGGGTGTTGCTCCCCTCCCCAGGATAGACTTTGTACTAATCTTGCTTCAGGAAGGTATGCCAGCAGTGCGCCAGAATGTCTGCATGTCATCCTCTTTGTGCTTTTGTTTTGTCTGTTTTGTTGACCATGTTTGTTCTAGTCCTCACAGATGCAGCAAAAAAAAAAGCATTGCCAAAGGAGTTTGTAGTATTGGGCATCCGGTGTGTCTAAACTAAAGGCAATCTTTTTGCGTGCTGTCAACGAATCAATGTCAGGCTGGCAATTAATATTGCAGGTTTTGCATGTCCACTGAACACTGAAGGACTGTGATGTTTCTACGGTTAACGCTTGGCACCTGTCACATATGACACTCGGCTTAAAATCCTGTTAGCATGCGTGTTACGTGGTGTCTTGTCCTGTGTTGTTGTTGCACAGAGAAGTTTTCATTGGAAAATTACCTGATTTCCTTCTTACCTTTATCTTTCGAAGGTCTGACGTAGTGGTTCTCTGCTTTTCCATCGCCAATCCCAACTCCCTACATCATGTTAAAACCATGTGGTACCTCGAGATCAAGCACTTCTGTCCACGTACACCCGTCATCTTGGTCGGTTGCCAGCTGGACTTGCGCTATGCTGACCTGGAGGCAGTCAATCGAGCTAGGCGACCATTATCAAGGTACTGATACTTAGGCCCCTGTCCCTATTCCTTTGCAATTCCTATAAAAATTCCCCTCAGAAAGTTGCATATCCTTTAAGCAGTTGCGTTGTTATATTAATGCGAGAACTGACTGTATTCATTTGTCTCTCACAGGCCTATTAAACCTGGAGATATTTTGCCTCCAGAGAGTGGAAGGGAGGTAGCCAAAGAGCTTGGCATCCCATACTATGAGACTAGTGTTTTCGACCAGTTTGGTATCAAGGATATCTTTGATAACGCAATCCGGGCAGCCCTCATCTCCAGACGTCATCTACAATTCTGGAAGTCCCACCTGAGGAAGGTCCAGAAGCCACTGCTGCAGGCACCATTTTTGCCACCCAAAGCACCTCCACCACTTATTAAGATCCCAGAATGCCCAGCCAAAAACCGGGATGGCCCGAAGCAACTTCTTGAAAGCCCCCTGTGCGCTGATGTTATGTTCATCATTCAGGAACACGTCCACTTGTTTGCCCACAGGATCTACCTGTCTACCTCATCCTCCAAATTCTTCGACCTCTTTCAAATGGATTTCTCAGATGAGTCCCAGTGCTTGGTGATAACAGAGCATCACAGGCGGGATCAACTGATGCGCACACTAAGCCTGGACACAGAAGAGGACGTCACGGTCCTCCCCAACCTTTCGCCTTGCTCACTCCGGGCATCCAAGAGTGATGGTACCCTCAAGGTGATGAGTTTCAGTGGGATGCACCGGCGCACCAGGCTGTCCCTTGCCTCTTGGAGCAAGGCTTTCTACAGCATCCACAAGGAGAACGTGATCAACCCAGTCACGGGGACGCCAGCTCTTATGACTGTTGTGAAGATGGATCATTCCATCCACAATGGACCATTCAGTGCCGTTCTACGGTTCCTCTACACCGGTGAGCTGGATGAAAAGGAGAAGGACCTGATGAAGATCGCCCAAATTGCAGAGATCCTAGAAGTGTTTGATCTTAGGATGATGGTGGAGAATATCATGAACAATGAGGGCTTCATGAATCAAGAGATCACAAAAGCATTCCATGTGAGAAAGGCAAACCGAATCAAAGAGTGTCTCGCCAAGAATAATTTCACAGGTATAAAGGAACCCAGATGTGTTTCATTTATCTTACATTGATTGAGAAAGTAACATCTCACTTGAAAATGTTTATTTCAACACCTGCTACATCTGCTACAACATCTGCATGCCTCCTGAAATGTAGTGTTGAGGAAATTACTTTTTAATAGAATACCAAGCTACAAGCTTTTTTATAATTTAATGTATTTAAACTACAGATATGTAGTTCAAACAGTGCTTGCAACTTCAAGGTCATGGGTTTGATTCCCAGCAAATGCATGAACTGAATGACATACCTTGTTGCTTTAAAAAAATGGATAAATGTACATGTAACTACAGTCAAGTCATAAGAAAGCAGCTAACTACATTCAAGCTATACGCTGATTTCACGCAGCGGCCATTTTGAAATCGAAAGCAAGGCTCCGGTGGGAAGAGCCCAAGGAAGTACAGATAGACAACAATGCCTTGGACTACCAACCTGAAGCTGCTGCTGCGATTTAAACTATTGGATGTTAATATCCAATATTGGATATGTATATAGTTTGTTCCTGCTTCTTTTTTTACATTCTGAATTTTATATAAAAAAAAATATTTTATTTACAAATGAATTTCACTGTATATAGTCTAAAGTATGAAAGAAATGTATGTACATTTTTAGAATAACTAATTTCTACATTAAACACAACAATACGCCATCAAATTCGCGACTCTCCTATGATTAAAAGCGACACTTCCGGTTTTCTTCCACCGGAGCGATTTCAAAATGGCGGCTGCGTGAAATCAGCGTATGACAATGCAGTTTGTCGTGCTATACAGCTGCTTATTGGAAAAGTATTTAATTAAAAGCATCATGTTTTAAAAACTACTGTCATACTGGAAATTATGTTATTAATAGCGTCACTACATTCAGTTAATTAATTTCCAACACTGTTGTTGATTGGATAAAGCATTCGTTTTAGTGGTATAAAATGGGATAGCAAATGTGCTATAAAAGATTACTTTGTAAAGAGCAGTTACTCATGGTGTTTTGGACTGTCTTTGCAGATGTGGTGTTCAGTTTGGATGATGGCACCATTAACGCCCACAAACCACTGCTGATCTCAAGCTGTGACTGGATGGCTGCCTTATTTGGGGGCTCTTTCATGGAGAGTGCAAATGACGAGGTGAGTGTGAAAACAATGTGTAATGAGCTCCAGTTAGGGCTCTGACAAGTTTACAGAACATCTTTATTTTATCCTTTAGCAGTAATGAGTCTGTCAGTTCATGAACAGATGGTACAAGGTCACAAGCTCAGACATTTACATGTGAATATATTCTCAAATACATACGCACTGACACATTTTACAGACATTGGCTTGACAAAAAAACTTGCTTCAAATTCTTGAATAACTAAAATAGTCTGGTCTGGTGTCTCTATGTGACGTTTTGAAAATCTATTTTTGCTGTGATTAATGACCTGTCAGCCCTTATGAGCTTTGGAGTAAATGATGTTTGTCTTACAAGACATTTACAATAGCAGGGTTATTCAATTTTTGAAAAATGTCATTCATTTGTATTTTGATTTGCATTGATTTTCAATTTAAGTTTATCTGTAGTAATTGTTCATTTTTTTTTTGTTTGTTTGGTTTTTTTTTTATCCAGTTATCCAGAGTTCTTGTCTATATTTTAGTGCACATTTATAGTGTTAGTTTATATTTGTCTAGGTTTAGTCTTTGAATTTTATTTTAATGATAATAACCTTATAGTATTGTAAGCATCATAATGAATAATTCATTCTAATTGCCTAGCCATTGACATGCATAATTCATAGTTAATGAGCTGAGATGCACCATCGATACAGGTAGGCTACATCCTTCTGTTTGAAGCAAACATTATGTTTTTTGCTGGATCCACGGCTGCCACATGCACGCTTAATCCTGTTTCCAGTGACTCTTTCATCTGTGGCACTGTTCATTAATTTCCTCCTTAATAGGTGGAATAAAGCCAAGGTGGAATAAAACCGAGTTTCCTCCCTGAGGAGGAAAAGCAGACGTCACTCAGAGACAGTGATCTGTTTTCTTCTATGGATAATTTTTGCACAAGGGACTTAATGCATGATGGCCAGTCATTTTTTGTTTGCCTTAGTGCTCTGACATTTCATGCCAGTTTAACAATTGGGACAGCTTTATTTTAGGCAGTGTCCTACTTTCAGACATAAGTCTATCTATAGTGCTTGCTCAAATCCGAGAGAGCGTGCCTCTTTTTCTTGCGGTCTCTTTTGGAGTGGTTGACTACCCCAGTGAAACACAGCAATCTACCGTGCTTGCCCTTGAAGAGTATTATGTAATGGGTTACGTAGCAGCATCTATCTGCGTGTCCTACTCAAATGTGCTTAGTAATGCTGGGCTGCTGGTGAGCCGACCATCCGTTTCAAAGAGATTAAAGACTGAAAAGTCCCGTTTTCAATCAGCTGACTGAGACTGTTAAACACGCATTGTTTCTGTACTGAAAATATATATATATATATTTTATCGTTTTAATTGTTGGTGCTCTTGGCATATAAAACCTAGCATATTGTATGAGTATTACATTTCTTTTGTAATCAAAATAATTCTGTGAAACTCTGCATGAAATCAAAATTGGCCCTATTTACATTTAACTGGTCTTAAAATATTCCGCATAATTATTAATCCCCCAAAAACTACAATAACTTACTGAAATAAACTCAGCAACACACTATATTACAAAATAAATAAATAAATAAATAGGAAAAATATTCCTACTACTAATAGTTATAGTATTTATAACTATACATTTGTATTATAAATTAAAATACATATATTAATATTATTATTATATTTACCAATGTATAGTAGGTAGCCTAGTATATGAAAAATAAATATTAATATATTTAATATATAAAATAATACCTGTTGTTATATTGACCAAGGAACCTAAAAAATGTCCTTCATCTGGTAACAACTTCATGTACATTTTATTGAAGTCAAAATTGTGTCATCTGAATAAATCAACCTCACAAATTAGGTTAGATCGAGAAGAAAACAATATTGTAGGTAACAACTGCAGGGTTTTTTGTGCAACTTATAACTTGCTCCGCCTTTTAACATATAAACATCTCCAAACATATAAAGATGCCCTCGCAATTTAATCAAGTCTCGTTCTGCATTTTTCCACCAATTCCCTATTTCACTCAAGAATTAAGTCATATTTCAGAAGTTAATGGGATGTAAACGCTATTACACCATGACTTGGAATGGAATTGAAAAAAAAAAACGTATAATGACGTACATTCGTATGTGTTGCCAGGTCTCATTCCCCAACACCAGCAGGGTATGTATGCAGGCAGTGCTCGAGTATCTCTACACCAGTCAGCTGTCGCCCATGGCAGACCTGGACCCAATGGAGCTAATCGCCCTGGCCAACAGACTGTGCCTTCCACGGCTCATCGCCCTGACAGGTGAGTTTACTGCCAACGCCCCGCCACACGCTCCAAATGACACACGAGACACCACACGCATTCCTCAAGCACAGAGCCATTTGACCACCTCAGATCCAAAGCAAACAGGCCTTCAACCTTTCGTTCTGTGTTGCTTAGCAACAAGTGATGTCAAGGTGCCAAATAAAAGAGAATGTCTCCGCAGAGCTTTGTGTGGCACACGCTACAATCTGTCCGGCCGACGTCATCTAATGACGTGGTGGTGACAGGCTGAAATGTATCTGTGACTTATCAGGTTTTGCGTAGCCTGCGCCGCCCCAGGGGCAAAACACGTTTTCATGTTTGTGCGCTGTCAGATTATTTACAGTCTGCAAGAGTAGCAAAGCATCACATGAAGTATTATTTTGTGTAAATAACGCCGCTTTGCTTAAACTAGACTGTTTAACAGATATTTTCTCCCCTCAGAGCAATACGCCGTGAGCGAGTTATTAAAAGCATCTAAAGATGGACAGGACATCGATGGAGAGGTACTCACCTATCTGGAGCTTGCTCAGGTAAATCCGTCCTTCGTTATTAAAATGGATAAATAATAGTAGAGAAAAGTGTTGGCTAAATGTAAATATTAGTACTGTGGGTCATTAAAAAACACAAATTAATCATATAAGATAGTTGTAAGTGAGTCACGATTAATCGGCTGCTAATATAAACATTTGTTATTGCAAATTCAGTTCTATAATCGAAATTATTCAACCCCAGGTTTCGTGGTAAAATGTACAGACTTTCAGCTGTTTTTAATGAACCAATCAAAAACAAGTAATTGAAATTGTCAGGGTTCTGTCACTTTTTTTAGTTTTGTGACAGAGCTCTGAGGCCTTGTCCACATGGACACAGCTATTTTTATAAGCGGAGTTTTTCCTCCTGCGTTTTTAAAAAAATAAATCCCGTCCACATGAAAACGTTTGAAAACGTTTCGTTGGTATGATACAAAATATCCGCAGCACGGTTTACTTGAAACTGATTTCGCAGATAATTTGTTTCATCCTAAAAATTTATTTTCATCCATTTTGTTCGGTTAGCTCTGCTGGTTGATGTCGTTGTAAAGGAAGAATGTTGTGAAAGTTGGTCAGTGTGGTTTAGTCTCGCCCCTCCTCCACTGTGATTGGATGGCAGGGTAAAAAGTGACAGTGATGAGCGCTGCGTTGAAAATTTTTCAACTCTCGGCGACCAATAAAAAAACGCAGAGCGCTCGGCGCTTCAGCGTGAAAAAAGCGATCAGCACCTCGTTACGCTCATGGCGTTTAAAAAACGCGGCGTTCCCATTGAAAACAATGGGCTCTATGCACGGCAGTATTTCCAGTGAAGGTATAAGGATGCTCGATAACTTCCGCCGATCGTAGAGTCCAATGCAAAACCGAGAATTTATATTGAATTTTGTACTCCACGGTTATACTAAAGAAACGTTAGTCACAAAAACAGATAAAACAGACACCCCTCGTTGTGTTTATGATTCTTTTTAAAATTATATGAAATAAACCAGCCCGTTCTCATCCTTTAGCGTCACATAAAACGCTATATGACAAAACGAAGCTATACTACGCACATGGCTTTTGCCCTTTATCGTTAATATAACACGCGAACCCAAGACGTCATAAATCCTTTAGCGTGAATATGATACGCAGACCCTACCCCACACCTAAACTTAGCCCTCACAGCGCGTTATATTAACGATAACGGGTGCCATGTGCGTAGTATAGCGCCGTTTTGTCATATAGCGTTCTATGTGACGCTAAAGTATGAGAATGCGTTGAAATAAACATAACTATATATAAAATTACATCTAAACGTATGTACGTTTCGTTTCAAAGACGGGAGGACAGTACATTTTGAAGACTCTGCCATAATCCCGTTTTCCTCGGTTTTCCTCCGCTTTAATCTCCACAACCGGAAATGGACGAGCATCCTTGCGTCAAATGCGGAACTTATGCGTGCATGTAGCCCATTGAAAACATACGCCAGGCGCGTTGAATAATGCTTTGGTGGACACACGGCCTAAAGCCACGTTGGCCAATCAGAAGCCTAACAAACATAGGCGGAATACCCGGTTTTACTGTCTACACGACAACACTGTAACCGGCGTTTCTGAAAATCCTCACCCTGGCAGGCGTTTTCAAAAATGTTCGGTTTCAGTGTCCTGATACTACGTAGCCGTGTGGACAAATGACCGAACAGTGTAAAAAAAGTCACGGTTATAAAAAACCCATGTGGACAAGGCCTGACACTCCTGTTTTGTCATGTCTTTGTGTGTGCGCGTGGCTTCAAGCGTTCTCTAGCCGTGCGTTCACTTGTCTGTATGCCGCGTTCATGTCTCGTTTTGTGTGAGAACATGGCTGGTGATTTGTTTTACTGGCCATGTGCTTTAGTTCTAGTCATGTTTGGTGAGAGCACATGGCTTGTTATGTGTTTCCTTTTGTCATGTGCTCTCCTGTCCATTGTCTATCCCCTCCTATCTTGTAACCTGATACCTGTTCATTTTCCCCACCTGTCCTCCCCCATTACCTGCCTTGTTTGCTCCCTATTTATTGCCCCTGTGTTGTCGGTCCTGTGCTGGATCGTTTGTTTTCTCTTGTGTCAAGTCAAAGCCAAGTCAAGTCTAAGAAACATGTTTTATGTAAACATTCTTTGTCTCTACAATAAAATCAGCTGTGATTTTACAGGTGCAGTAAATGTAAATATCTGGTGTTGTGTATAACTGTAACTACTATATGTCATTTATCTGATACTTTTATTCAAAGCTACAATAAACGTATTGCAGTTATAATTGCCTTGGCTTGGAGCAACCATGAGAGTTGCACTGTTGGCACCATTTATCAGGATTAATTGTGCAATAATCTTCAAAGATTTAACAGTAGCTGCAAGAACTCATAGTAAAATACAACATATAATTTTAAAATATGACAAAGATGACACCCTTTGTTTACAGTGATCATACTGTATCCCAATATTTAGACTAAATACTAGTGTGACTGTTTATCATATAAACAATGTTAACGTCTTGTTTTTTTATTCTCTTTGTTTTGATGACAGTTCCATAATGCTAATCAACTCGCTGCCTGGTGTTTACACTACATCTGCACCCATTACAACAGGATATGTGCCAATTACCGCAAAGAGATAAAGTCGAAATTGCTGGGTAAAACATTTCCTGAATTATTATGAGACAGATGCAAACATCATCATTGGAACTGCATGATTTAAAGCACCTGTAATTACATTTAACTTTGCTTTATTACATAGATAGAAGAGTGTCCTCTTAAAGTGATAGTACACCCAAAAATGAAAATGTTTCAAATCCATATGGGGTTATTTTTTTAATCCTATGGAACACAAAATATTTCTTTTTAAATGCTTACGTTTCTCTTTTTCACTACAGTTCATAGTGACAGTGAAGTTGTTATTCTACCTTTTGTGCATTACAGACAGCATACAACTTAGGACCTTTTATACTTTTTTTTTTTCTTTTTTTTTTTGTATAAAGTAGCTGTATGAGCATTAAAAATTCAGTTAGTAGTGTCTTGAAACTCCAAAAACACGCTTTTTCCAAAACACGCTCAAAGCTGTTGACCAATAACAACACACTACTTCATAGAGGCCAGAACTAAACAGAGCATTACAGACAGAAATCTTTCCAAAATATTAGAAGAATAGTGTTTTTTTTCAACAATTAAACGTGAAAACCTGTACTAGCAGACCCTAAAACCAAAATCAAGATTTTTCCCCTTGAAGTAAACAAGCAAAGAATTATATAAATTTAGGTGAACTGTTCCTTTAAGAGGACACATTTCTGCCTCCTAAGCTTTGTTGTATATTATTAACCCTTGACATCTTTCTGGGTGTGTGTTGTAATGTGAGCAGAAAACCAGGAATATTTTGAGAAGCACCGCTGGCCTCCGGTCTGGTATCTGAAGGAGGAAGATCACTATCAGCGGGTGAAGAAGGAGAGAGAGAAAGAGGATGTGGTTTTGAATAAACATCACTCGAGGCGACGCTGGTGTTTCTGGAGCACGTCCCCTGCAATTGCTTGAGTCTGTACCATTCTAAAGCTCGTTTTATTTTCGAAGCTTATGTTCCTTCTTTTCCTATTTTGCTAAGATGAAACAGACCACTCTAAACGAGCAATCGGTTTGAAGCACAATCTAAATGTCCAATCAATGCTGGCCAACAAATCTGTGAAGGTGATGTAAGCCTATTCCTTATGGTGTAATAATAATCGTTTTAATAACCGTGCTGTTGTGTCGGACATGTTTGTGTCACAGCAGTGATCTGACTGTGTTAAACACATAAGAATCTTTAAACACTAAGAGGATTAGGGAGATTAGTTTTATCTTATATTTCCTTTTTTCACTTAGGTGCTATATACTGTATATTTCCATTAACACTGTTAAATTAAGTCATCTAAGTGGAAAATGCTCATTATGCCACCAATTCTCAGCACATTGATTTACAAAATTAGCATTGTCCAATTTTGTGTTCAGGCAAATTTTGGGTAATGTGGGAGGCCTGTGATTTGGATTATGACCCAAAACTTTGAGCACTTGATATTTGGGCTTGCTGTAGATTGTAATATAATGGATGTAGTTTGATCTTTGTGATTGTTAGAGCTTACAGAATCCAGTCCTATGGAAATAACAGGGTCATTCCTATTATGCAATACATTTTGAACTCCGTTTTCAAACAAAACAAATGGATGCATTTCTGTTAAAGAATATGCTGGTCTTTTATTGAAATATGTTCTGGTAAAACTCAGGCACTTAAAATGATTAATTATTAATTATACAATATATCAAGAAACAGGAAAGATGGTTACGGGATGATATAGAGCCCCAAAAAACTCATGGTGACAAACATATGAGATGGGCGCATTGCTTTGAAAAGAACGCTAAACTATTTAATGTTAGTCATCGTTTGAGATATTGGCAGTTTTGAATGTATTTTTATACAGTTTGTTGTCATTTGGAAGGCTTTAAATACCAATGACACACACAAAGAATGTTACCTTAGAACTTAATGTAGCATTTATTCCCTCTGAATGATGTTTCAGAGTATAAGTATATAAGTATAGAGTATAAGTAGAAATTCCGGCGAGGAAAAGAAAGTGATGTCTTTTCTCAGAACAAACACAAAACAAACACTACAAGGCTATTTATTTGAGCGAAAGGATTTATACTTTCTTTAATTTGATATGTTACTCCACATAGGAAGAACAGACATGCCAAAAGTTACTGACCTGATCCAGACCAATATACACATACTGATTGCTATTGTCTTGATATTGAAAATAAGTGGGGCAGATTTTAGGCTCTAAATTAGCATGTGTTGCAGTTTCATTTTTGACCATAGTCTTACATTGAAAAATTGTGGGGCGCTGTAGAGCTGGGTAGGAATCCGACTTAGTATCACGTTAAGTGCTTGCTGAAGCCATGCCCTAAATTTGACCATATCCCGCTCACCTTACGACTTAAAGGTGCTCTAAGCGATGTCACACGTTTTTTAGGGCAAAACATTTTTTTGTCATATACAGCAAACTTCTCCTCATTATCCGCTAGCTTCATGTCCCCTAAACACACTATAAAAAAACGCGGTCTATGCAGACAATCCAGGCTCCACAAATGGCAACAAAGACAAACTGCGGCAACCCGCTCCACAAAACATAACAAACTGTTCCAGCCAATAACTGACAAGAAGGCCCTGGGGGTGGGGATTGGGGGGTCAGTCCGCGGATGAGGAGGAGGGAGGGTCTATCTAGCCTCCGTTTTGTTTGAAAATACTTTAAACGTCAACAAGAAGTCGCATTACCCGACATCGCTTAGAGAACATCGCTTTAATAGAGTCTATATAGAGTTTTATATTTGCAGACGAGCCACGACTGATGATGATGTCAACGTGAAACGGAATAACGATATGTTAGCGTCCACACCAACACACAAAAACTGTTTATTATAAGTGTACGCTGCGTTTTGTCATCTGCTGCTTTAAACGCTCGAGCCCTTTAAAGCAAGATGGATTCTGATTGGCTGTTAATGTTTTTATCATTCATCAGGTAGACCAAGTCATTGTGAAAGTAATTCCAACGATTTTTTGTGACGTTATCCTTATAGTTGTGGTGTGGACTGCTATTCTCTATTCTCTTTTTTTTACTAAATTTCTGTTATAGTTATCGTCCATAGTGTGAGCATGCCTTAACTAGATTGAATAATAAGGAAAAATTAAACACCTAAAACTGATTTCAAATTGAAACAACATTCCCAATGAACATTATGATTAAAAAAGTAATTAGCAACTGAAATATATTTTTTTCATTGATATTGTGATTAAAGAAAACTAACCAATAGGGTTTATTTTAATAATGAGTTTAATATTTGATCTCATATTAAATATGATAGAGACTTCATAATGCATAATATGAATGACCCAGCTCTGTCCAGTTGGAAAAGGTTTTACAGAAGCTACAGTCTAGCAGTTAAAGCCCGTTCACACCAAGAACAGTAACTATAAAGTTAACTATATCTAACTATATTATCGTCCACATCAATTAAAGATATTGCTCTGTTTATCATAACCACGTGCTAAAGTTATGTCTTCTACCGTTTTAAATGCTCAAAATCTTTAAGGGTCGGTTAAAAGATAATTCCGGTATTTAACACCTTGAGTCTATTTTGTAGTTTGTTTTGAATGAAATAGAGTGGTGGACTTAGAAATTTTGACAATGGGTCCTTTCTCGACTTTTTGACAATTTTAGAATCGCCTGTGACAAGTTTTAGACTGGGTGTCTATGGGCATGCACAAACATGTCCTTAAAACAACCCTTAACGTTCATTTTCAAAACTGTGCAACTCACCGAGTGGTTGGTGGTGTTCGTTGATGATTAAAAACAAATATATCGGCGCAATGTATGCTTTCAATCCGTGTTGTTTGCTATAGTGGAACTATTTTTTCAGATACCTCACAACCGCGTATAAACTTCCGCTCGACATTTGAGTCTGAAGCGTTAGCACACTCCCGACCACTTGATGGCGACAACCAGGATGCTGTACGGAACACGGTGTCTAAAAAAAGTCAAAGACACAGTCGAATATGGCAAGACGGAGAACCGAGGGAAAAGACTACAACCAAATGTAAACAGACCCCTTGCCGTTTCCAGTAGCTAGCGCAGTAATATCAACGAGCACTGAGTCCTCCAGCAGACATCAATGCGATTTTTAAAAAATGACAAATAAAACATGTCAGAAACGGTATTTCGCTATGCTACTTGTTTCGGAACATCAACGAACGCCACCAACCACTCGGTGAGTTGCACAGTTTTGAAAATTTACGTTAAGGGTTGTTTTATGGACATGTTTGTGCATGCCCATAGACACCCAGTCTAAAGCGCTCACAGGCAATTCTAAAATAGTCAAAAAGTCAGACAGGACCCATTGTCAAAATTTCGAAGTCCACCACTCTATTTCATTTAAAACAAACTACAAAATATACTCAAGGTGTTAAATACCGGAATTATCCTTTAATACAGAACAAGTTTTCTCATTGTACTGTGCTAAACACACTAGACGGACGTCTTTAACTGTCGCGCCTAGCGTCTTTTGCAGCGTCTCGCGCGTGACAGGGAATTCTAAAAAAAAAACGCTAGTTAAAAGAAGAAAACAGATTTTTAGACCTTGCGCTTTTTATCATTCCACTAACCTCAGGCCCCTAAGGCAGGGTGGATTCTGATTGGCTGTCAATTTTATCGTTCATCAGCTGGAAAAGATCTTTGTGAAAGTCATCGTTTCTCTGTACCGCTATCGTGTGGAGTCTGCCATTCTTTTACATTTGCAATTTTAAAACTATATCTTTATGTTTATCGTCATAGTTATCGCCCTCGGTGTGAACGGGCCATGTCTCTTCCATGTGTTGTACCATAATGCTAATATTTACTGACAAACCACACATTCACTGCTATTTAGAAAGGCTTAGAAACACGGCTTAGTTCAGGGCAAACCATATCTAACAAAAATAAATAGGCCTAATATAACCACTATTTGCATATAGTACATACATGTATAATACATGAATTCCACCATCGTTGTGCTAGAAGTTACATATGTACTGTAGTGGATTGTAACTTTATTTACACATCAAAGATTGTCATAGTTGTGAAAGCTAAAACGATTTGCTGTGTCCTATAATGAGTAATTATTAATGTAGATGTTTCATGGGAGGATTTTACAGGCTGTTTTCACAGGTAAAGAATGTACTGCGTCTTTATGTGTTAGTATTTACTACACTCGCAAAGACGATAAAACACCCGGTCCGTGCCGATGTATCCTAAACGAATCCAGACGAACGATGTAACTGATAAAGGAGGAATGTTTATACTTGAAGAAAAATAATAGTTTAGTCATTATAGTGTAGATATTATTTAGTTTACCAAAGCAATATAGATGATCACATGCATAAGATACCATGATTGTTGTTGTTGTTGTTGTTTTTCTTTTAGTGGTATTGGCGAAATTGTTGTTAACTATTGGTAGCTGCTGAAAACCAAATGGCTGGTTCATTTGGTTCTTGCTGTCTAAATGCCTTTGATCTTGCTGGTCATTATCTTTAAAGTTGGTTGTTTGTTTATTTATGTATTTCATTAATTTATTTTTTAAAAATGGAATTTTGTTGAATAAATTATTGATTTTACTTGGTATCGAGTAATTGTTTTTTCTTATTCAATCAAATTTTTCTAATTCAGTGTGATCTTCCAATGCAAATTGGTTGGTATTTGACTTACATTTCAAACAGTGGCACTTGTGGCAAGCCATTTTAGCTTTTATTCATTTCCAGGATATGAATTCTTGATATCAACAATTCAATTCCTGATATCAACAATTCAATTTTTTGATATCAAGAATTTAATTGATACCAACAATTGAATTCTTGATATCAAAAAATGTAGATGCTGATATCTGTAATTGTATTTTCACAAGTGAAATTTCACCATCGGCTGCCATTCAAAATAAATTGTTGATTTCAAGAATTGATTTTTTTACTAGTAGAAATAAAATTTTTGAAATCAATAATTACATTGTTACCAGGAAAAATGTGAATTCCTGATATCCATAATTAAATTGTCACTAGTTGAAATGTTTATTCTTGATATCAACAATTCAATTGGTACTGGTAAAAAATAAAGATTTTTACTAGTAATAATTGTATTTCTGATATGTGAAATTTGAATTTCAACTAGTAATAAATCAATTATTGATGTCAAGAATTGGCTTTGAATGGCAGCCTATGGTGACATTTCACTAGTGAACATACAATTGTTGATATCAAGAATTCAATTTTTGATATCAAAAATGTAATTGTTGATATCAAGAATTCATATCCTGGAAATGAATAAAAGTTAAAACAGCTTGCCATAAGCACTGGTGTCCACAATATGACATATTCATACTTATTCATATTAACCAAATATGGTCATAAAACCATTTTTTTTTTAGTATACAGTTTTATAATTATTAATTAATTGATACATTTTCATGGTCATATCTCATGACCATGAAAAAAATCTTGATGTTGGGGCAACCAAAAATCTACAAAATAAAATCTATGTACAATAAGTAAGTCTTTGCACAGGTATTTTAACATCTAAATAAAATGTAAAAGTAGCTAATATTACATAACGCTCCAGCGTCAGAGTTGTTTCAATAATTCATTTGAAAAAAGCGACATCCTGTATAATGTGGCTCTTTGATCCCGACCTAATCCTTCTCTGACACGCAGGCGTTCTGGAGAGAGGGAAAAAATCTGATTATATAAGTTGACTTGTTGGGAAAGGCGTGCGTGAGGCTTCCTGTGTCAGTTTAGGATTCGGCTAATGCTGCTGACTGTCATTGACTTTAGTTAAATCAAATGGCCAATAGAGCTGTAATCGCATGCTAGCCTACTGCGAGACGTTTCCTCTGAGGGTTGAGCTCAGGTCTCAAGAGCGGGTTACGGTATAGAGCCTGTGACAAGTCAGGACATGCTTCTGGAAGAGTAAAAGCACTTGGCGAAGTCACACATTAAAAACATTGACTTGGAAACTGTACAGGTACTGTGTATGTTCCAATAACAAAATACATATATAAATAATGGAAACTGTACAAGTACTGTGTTCCAATAACAAATTGGAATTTAGTCATGGTAGGCATTATTTGGTAAATAAATAATTAATTACAACCTTATATTTTCATAATTTGTCTGGGTAGTAAAGAACAGATTTAGAGGTAACACTTTATTTTGATGGTCCCTTTTGAACAGTCTGTTGACTATATAACTTTGCGACTACATTAGAGTACTGTCTGCTTCTGCTAACTCTTTATTGTGATGTTCCTCTAACAGACATTCTACTTATAAGTAACATTGGAACTATATATTCCTAACCCTACCAGTCTACTAACACTCGAGAGTTAGTAGACCTGTAGGTGCAACGTTACTTATAGTCAACAGAATGTGTTAAAGGGACCATCCAAATAAACAGCCCATTCTCACCCCCAAGGCGTCACTTAACTGACGCCTTGGGAAGCATTTGGACATGCTTCAATATCTGACGCTTTAGGCGCCCTTTAGCGTCAGTTAGATGACGCCCTAGGATCGCGTGTACCCTACCCCCA